GAGAGAGAGAGAGTAAGAGAGTGAGAGAGAGATAGAGAGAGAGAGAGAGAGATTCATAGAGAGAGAAAGAAAGAGTGCCATCCGTTGCTTGTGGAAAATGTTCATTTTGCGACGGGCTGGACAACGCAATTTTATCTATCCGACTGACATGGAGATTAGAAAATCATTGTTGTGACAAGGTGTTCTAAAGACTTAATACCAAACTACTGGCGTGCATACATAAAAAAGACTCACTAAGGCAGATGGGTCTGTACTTGCGTGCAACGTGATGGCTGTGTTGATGTGTGTTTGGTTTTATCTTGCCGTAGATCGACTTCACGGTAATGACAGGTCTGATGCTCGTGGCTGTCGTAGTGCTCCTTATCTTTGGCATCTTTGCAATTATCTTCAACGACAGGGTGAGATGCACCGACAGTTACACGCAATGCCTACTCTCGTCTCATCTCCTGTCTTTTCTTCTTTTCTGTCTCCTCTACTCTACTATTTTATTTCCCTTCCCTCTCCTCTCTCCTGTCCTCTTCATTCCCATCCTCTCTCCTCCCTTTTCCTCCAGTCTCCTCTGCTCTTTTCTCGTCTCCTCTCTTCTTCGTTCGCATCATGAAGGCAGCTGTTAGACAGGTATGTCTTACTTACAAACTAGCGAGATGGCGTTGTTGCAAGTAAATTATTAACGTTGGTCACGATAAGGCGAATGCAATGCAAGTAGTTTGTGTGTAGAGTTTAGCAGTAATGATTGAGACGCTGCAGCTGTAGATACTTAGCAGCTCATACTATACGCTGTAATCACACATTGCATCGTCACCGCCTCCTGTAATGGCTTGTTGTTGCAGATTGTGAATCTCGTATATGCTAGCCTGGGTGCACTCATCTTCGCTGGGGTAAGTGAACCTTGATGTTTCTCTCTCTATCTCCCATGGTACATGTTGTTACATATTACTGCTTTGTATGTGCTAGTCTGACGTCGATGCGTTTAAATTATGAAAGATTCAGTTTGTGATTGATGTAAATTTAGAACATCACTACAGTGTACGCACTTGCTTATATTGTGTATGTATGATAGTCATAACTTGACCAATTTGACTAGCATTAGACATATTGTCAAGATCAGTTATGGCAGTGCATAATTAGCTCGCACGTAGTTTAAAATCTCAATGCAAGGAGAGTTAAAAAATATAACTAGTCGGTCCTGCCTGCCGGTGTCAGCGTTCAGATCAGCCTGAACATATCTATACTTTAGTAACAATGTGTTTGTGATGTTACTCAAGTTATTACGCAAGTTGTATTAATTGTATTTGACTCGGTCCTGCTTGCCTGCCTGCTTTCAGTATCTAGTCATTGACACCCAGCTGATGATTGGAGGCAAGCACAAGTACTCGCTCTCACCGGAGGAATATGTCTTCGCTGCCCTCAACCTCTATCTGGACATCATCAACCTATTCCTATACCTGCTCATGATTATCAAAAATGCCCAAAACTAGGTGGCGCCACCTCGCTGTGTGCGGGACGATCTGAGAACTCTACATCCCGATGGTTGTCAAAAATGCCTAAAACTAGGTGGCGCCACTGCACGGTGTGAGGTGATATGAGAATGTCGTCAGCACTCGCTTGTTTACGCTACATACGGGTAAGAGCGATCCCAAGGTTAACGTATAGTCGCGAGGTATGTGTTCGAGATTCAATTGTCGCCTTGTTGATTGTAAACGTTACAGTTTTCTGGCTGAAGTTCTAAGTAATAATTGTGTGATAATGATGTGGCCACATGGATTTTTACTTTTTTCGTAGGCGTGTTTTTTTTTTTCATGGTGCATTCATTTCTTAACGCACCTTGTTTAGTTCATAGCTTACTACTCTGAGCAAGCTTGCTGCGTTTTGTTCCACCTCCAAATTCACACGTTCTATATTTTTGTATTTTACGTACATGTAATATGTACATATAGCCAGATACGAAGTGTGAGGTATGATTATAAGCACATATCTATAATATATAATATATTATACTATATATACACGCTGGTGTAACAAACAACATTACAAGAGTATATGAGAAAGAATATTGAAATTATGGGTTGTGTTTTCACTGTTTAAGTGACTAGCTATAAAGTAGTAAGTGCCCATACTACTTTGTATAATTTAACAACTACAATAAGCCTTTCCCATAATTGCTATGTATAAAATAACTAAAATTAAATTGGATATTCTTAGCATGTATGTCATTGTAGAATGTAGAGCAAATCTGTGGAATTGTATGGAATAGCCTAGTATTGATGCAGCTTTGCTGAGCAGGGAATTCTTGTTACCTTCACTGTGATGAATATTTAACGTTTGTAAAGTCTTATGACGACTGATGTTTATTTTATCTTGATTATGTTATTTATCTTTTTGATTTTACAAAAGTGAGACGAAGCCAGAATTACTTTGTTAGCAAACGATGTATATTCAGCAAAACTTGTCTCCGATTCCAAGCGATTATTCATGACAACTTACGATGAAATTGATTATTCAAAGACTGTTCCAGCATATGTTCAGCCTCTCGGTGTCAACAAATCTACATTTGCCAAGCGATTTTAAATACAACATAGTCTTTATCACTTCATTCGGATTGTCATTTTCGTTGTCATGGGTTATTAACTTTAAAGCCGCACAATGCGCATCCAAACGCTAATTTCTTCAGTACTAGACTAGCAAATACTTCGTGTCATGCATAATCATACTACCTTATGGCAAAATAAACTCTAGTTCCTCCCATTTCACTGCGCGTTGTCTTATAAAACGTATTTTGAAAATACCTCCGATGTTGTTGACAGTTCCCCAATCTCCAAGCAACCGTGCAGCGGTGCCGCGGTACAGCGGTACGGGCGCAGCAAAGATAAAAACATGTGACGTCACGTCACCACTTCGATGTTATGTTGTTTGAAACAATTTAGCGTTGGCGCCTGATTACCTGATATCGCACCTCTTTCTTGTTGGGAACGCGCAGTCAAATGGGAGGAACTAGAGTTTATTTTGCCATAAGGTAGTATGATTATGCATGACACGAAGTATTTGCTAGTCTAGTACTGAAGAAATTAGCGTTTAGATGTGCATTGTGCGGCTTTAATGTGAATACTACATTGCAAACAGCAATGTCGAAACAATATCTACACTTGTGCCATGAGTTTTCCGTGTACGTATGCCCTCGGCCGCACATCCAACCATAACCCTCCCCCCTTCTAACCCCCCTCCCCCTCTAATTCCTCCCCCCTAACTAACCCTCCCCCAGTACAGTGACATGCGTGTCGTTCCCGGCTGTCGTCTGTTCCGCCGTGTCGTCCACATTGACTGCGGCGGGCGAGTCTCCCGTCGCCATGGCGTCCGTCATCGTCTGCTTGGCATGCGGGGGGCGGAGTCTGCAAGGGGCGATCCTCGCGCACATGTAGCCGGCGTGCGGACGTGGCGTGGCGCCCGGGTGCGGCGTCCGCAGCACAAAGTAGTCGGCCGGCGCGTGGCAGACGAACTGCATGCACTCTAGCTTGCGTGGCACGTCCTCGGACGGACCTACACAGACGACGTTCACGTTAATGTTGCAGACGACCGATGGGTCGTTAACGCTGTCTCATTAGTAACAACTGTACTGACGGGTTGGTAATGCTGTCACGTTACGGTTAATAACGAATGTTCTGATGGGTTGACGAGTAAAACTGCGTTATTAACGAATATATAATAATGACGGGTGGACTACTCATTGAAAACTTCGTTATTAATGAATATATAATAATAACAGGTGTAGTCCATTGGCTGAGGGGGTTCCCGTGTGCATAAGATGTCCCCTAAATTTTTCTTCCTATCTTTGAACTATACCATTGCACATATCAAAAAAGTCTGGGTAGACTTTTGCTACCCCGGCAGTAACCGAGAAAATGACGTCATAAGCTACGCCCATTTTTCGCTCCTCTGGTTGTATGCTTAATGGGTAGGGGAAACTTAAATTGATCTATCTCCGTATATATAAATCATAGAACAACAAACTATACCTCAAAATGTTTGTATTTAAGTCTTTTATAATTATGCATGTTAATTATGCAAATGAATATGCAAATGAGGTCAACAGAGGTCAAAAGGTCACAAATTCTGGTGCAAAGTGAAAGTCTGACCTTGTCCAAGAAAATGTGGCCTATAGTAGGCAATTTTCTAATTTTGAGACAAATACTGCATGAACACTTTAGATTAGATCCACCCAAGCCTATCAATATGCATCTTTAACCCTTTCATGTTTCATAATGTTATACAACATCAGATCAAGAAATGTAAAAAATCGAAAGGCATATTTGTTCAATCATTCATTTCTTCTCCAACAGATGGCCCTATGCCTTCTTTGATGTAGGGGAATTGGGATCTTCATCTCCAGGCAGTTCAGGCCCTTCTTCCTGTAATGGCAGCTTTTGATTCCACCAACTACCTGAGATGGTGTTCGCTGTATTTAGAGGACATGCACAAGCTACCTGAAACCGCACCATTCATCTTTGAAGAATTTAAGGAAGGCAAATTTGTGGTGAAGCGAACCCCTGGAAGGTTCAATGCAGTTGGGGCTGATATGACCTTGGAACAAACCATAAATAGATCCCAAAAGAGTGCCTCTGGTATAATTGGCAACACCTGGAAGAAGAAGTTCGTAGCAGTGTGGGAGCTGATCTACCATGAAATGCTGGCCATCGACAATTTGCACAGGGACTTGTGTGGAGTGACCATAAACCTGTCGGAGGAAAGTGCTATCAGCAAAGCTATGATAGCAACGGGGGAACAAAAGGTTCAAGACATACTTACAACAATACAGCGGAATGAGAATCCGTTCCAGTTGACTCCTGACCAAGTGAAACTTCATAACATTTTGACCCAAGAAGTCATGTCTGAAGATATCAGAAGCCAGCTACTTTTGGTCAAAGAAATCGGAACCAAAGCCTATGACACACTTAGAAAGGAGCGATTTATTGACAAGTTAATGAGATTCTCCTCAACCATCCATAGAACCAACCTGAAGACGTTTCTCAGCATCCATAGGCCAGAAAAAGAAGTCAAAGGAAAATCCGCAGGAAAAAAAGGAAGACTCCCATATGAAAAGATTGATTGAGATAGCGCGTGCCCGTGGACAAACAATGGAAGAGCTGTTGCAATATGATGTGTCCCCTTCGTCCTATTTGTTTGATCAAGAAGGGCTGATGACCAAACCTGTGAAAAGTGCACTGGTACAGGAACTAGAAGCCAAACTTACAAAGGATGATGGGAGAGAGCCGGAAAAGGACTCTAAAATGCAAACAGCATGTTTAGTTGATGTGATGGCCAACATTAGAAAGCTAAAAACAAAAGACATACGGACATTCGGAGGCTTCTGTGAACATTTTCTGGACTACGTCGCTGCAATCGGTCGAGGTGCTGACAGATCAGACTTGATCTTGGATTCCTATGTTGAAGGATCCATCAAAGATTCAGAGAGAAAACGGCGTCAAGTGAAAGCACCCATTAAGATAAATATCAAATAAAAAAAAAAAAAATAAACTGCGACACACCACTGCCTGTTGAGATGGACAGATTTTGGGCATCAAGCGAAAATAAGTTAAAGCTCCAGATGCTTCTTCATGAGCACACAATAAAGAAGCAGGATAGAGCAACCTTCCAAACTCCAAGTTGTAGCCAGTGGCTTTTCTGGGGACTCAGACGTTGTTGTCTGCCAGTCAGTTCAGGATGGTTGTTCAGCAGAAATACCAGAAATTTGTCAAGATATTGAAGAGGCTGATGCTCGCATAATCCCCCATGCAATGCATGCAGTAAAAAAACGGAGCAAGACGAATTGTTGTCCTGTCGAGTGACACCGATGTGTTCATACTTCTCATACACTACTGAAATGTTCTTCACTCCATTGGCCTAAGTGAAATCTGGCTCAGAGCTGGTGTTGGGGATTCGACAAGATACATCCCAGTTCACACCTTAGCATCAAGAG